AACCTCTCTGGGAAACTCTAATGGTTCGGTAGGAATATTCGCTTGATGAACAAGGTTGGAATCAATAAAATTATCGTCGGCCCCAGAGTCAACAAACTATGGAAAGAGAGGCACTCACGTAACCACAGCAAGGAGGTCTGAAGGAGAAGCCGGTCCGGAGAAAATTGCGTAGGAGAGGAAACATGGCTCACTAGGACCCCTCCACTCACAGGTGAGCCTGGTCTTTTGGCCGCAAGGGGCAAGCACTGATGAAATGACCTTCTTGTCCACAGTAAAAGCAAAGGCCCGACCTTTGTCGGCGTTGGCGTTCAGCTGGAGTTAGTCGGGCCCGACCCAGTTGCATAGGTTCCTCTGAATCGACAGTAGGCACAGAAGGCACGGAGGAAACTGGAGAAACCCTCTCCCTGAAGTTCATTCTTCTGGGCTGTGGGGGAAACTGACGGATACGGACTCGCTCCCTCTCAGTCAGTCTTTTGTCAATCCTAGAGGCCAGAGCAATCAAAGCCTCCAACTCAGAGGGTAAATCAAGGGGAGTTAGGTGGTCTTTAATAGTCTCAGAAAGTCCGTTGAAAAAAGCATCCACTAGGGCCAACTGATTCCACCCACTGTCAGCCGAGAGAGTACGAAACTCCAAGGCGTAATCCAGCACGCTGCGTCGTCCTTGTCGTAATGAGACCAAGGCCTTAGCAGCCTCTCGACCAGGTGAAACGGTCTGGAAGATTTGGTTGAAAGTTTTGAGGAAAAGAGGAAGGGAATTGCAGATGGTAGAGTGCCGATCCCACTCCGCTGTAACCCAGGCTCTAGCTCGACCAGTCAAGTAGGAGATTATATATGCAACTTTAGCATGGTCGGAGGGAAATGAAGCAGGTTGGAATTCGAAATGCAACTCGCATTGAGACAGAAATGGCCGACAATCGCCTGACTCACCGGAAAATCTCTCTGGACTGGACAAACGAATGAGAGAAGATCCAGGAGGAGGAAGGGCAGAAATAACTTCAGGAGTGGGAGGTGGAGTAGCTCGTGCAGGTGGAAACGATGTATCTTCCATTTGCTTGAATCGCTCAATAATGAAGTTCATCTGAGAGGATATCTGAGAAATGCCTCTTGGTGACCGTCATTAGCAGATCTGAGTTCTTCTCTGAGGCTACTCACTTGCTTCTCTTGCTGTTGAATTCTCAGTCCTTGGGCTTGGAGTGCTGCTCGAACTGGGTCTGGGGAGTCCATGTCTTGGCCAGATTGTTCTGTTGTGTACCACTGGAGTGGACCCCAAAAACAGACTCAGAACGAGGGCAAAAATGCAAAAAAGAAACAAAGGTTTATTGACGAGGCAGGATAGGCAGTGGAGGAGCGAGGAGCCAGGAGCTGGAATGCCGGAGTCTTCCACAGCGGGAACTAGGAAATACAAAAATGCAGGTAAGTAACAGGAAGCGACGTAGAAACAAAAACTGAGCTGACTGGTAGATCACCATCAGGTAGACGAAACAATCTGGCAGAGTCTGGCTGGAGAGCTGGGCCTTTGTAGCAGGCTTGATTGCAGATGGAGAGCAGGTGCTCCCAGCAGACTCCGCCCACATCCACACAAGGAAGACTCAGGTCACAGGCAGGGGCGTGACAGCTTGTTTCTATCTCGTAAATCTTGTTAATACAGTTTGAACCTCTGGCCTGTGTGCTGGCACTGACATAACTCATAATGGTCTTATTTTTATCTGCACCCTCTTGTGCATGTTTATTTTTATGAGTTGACTTTCATGATCAGGAAAGGCTAATAAATCAAATATAATGTCATTCAAAGATTAATTTTTGATTAAAGAAGAGGTTAAATCGACTTTTTTTTAGCTGACCTGCAAGCTGCCGTGTTCTAAATAGGAAATGAGCATAGGTGTGCTTCTGGCTCCATCGACTCTGGCTCCAATTCACTTTGTACTGAAAAAACGTAGCTCCTTTTATTTCACAATTTTGTCCGTAATTTCCCATTTTCAACACAATAATGGTAACATGGTGATCTAAATATGTTATGTATATGTATAAGTAAAATACCTCCGCCTTAAAATAACTTCAGTGGGCAGTTCCTTACTACTAACTTTGCAGTGTGCAGTGAAACAGTGAATACAGAAAGTTGTATGGTCTCAACAGTTTCGGCCATTAAGGCTCTGGAAGTAAATTTCCCAATAATTTCAGATAAAATGTTTAGTTTTGTGTAGTTTAGATTAGTTTATTTACTTAATGAGACAGATATATGCACAATATACATTAACCTTAACAAGAGAGATGCATTGTACCAGTATGTACTTGTAGGTATGTTTGATATGTGGTAATTAATGACCAAAGGACCTAAAATTGTATGTAAAGTTTCAGAAACACACTTTTAAAAGTTATTAAAACTAGGGGTGTCAAATTATCGCGTTAACTGCGATTAATTAATTACAGTCATATTTAGCGCGTTATGTTTTTTAATCGCGTTAATCTCATTTTTAATCTCTAACTTTACTGTTTCTGTATGCGAGTTGCTTTATTATAAAACCTGTTTTTTATGTGTTGTTGGGACAACAACACACACACACACACACACACACAAAGAACACATTTATAATTTTTTTTATTTCGGTAATTCCACTCATTGCCGGAAACCCCCACAAAACGCGCGCAGTAAGAGCGATGTAAACGTCTGTCGCACAATGGACGAAGTCGAAGAGCCAGTAGAACAGAGGCAGCAGCGCACAGGTAAAAACACATTTGTGTCTTGGAAATTATTCTCCCGACGTGAAATATAAAAGAAAATAACAAATATAAAATCGCCTACAACTTAAATGTCACTGGTGAAAACAACCTGCATAGGCTCATGATGTCTGCACTACTGTCCTATAGTGACCTGCCACATGAGGGGACACACACACAAACACACACAAACACACACAAACACAAACACACACAAACACAAACACATACAAACACGCACACAAACACACACAAACACAAACACATACAAACACACACACACACAAACACAAACACATACAAACACAAAACACACAACACACAAACACACACAAACACAAACACATACAAACACACACAAACACACACAAACACAAACACACACAAACACACACACACACAAACACAAACACATACAAACACACACACACACAAACACAAACACATACAAACACACACACAACACACAAACACACACAACACACACAAACACACACAAACACAAACACATACAAACACACACACACACACGCACACAAACAAACACAAACACACAAAAACACAAACACATACAAACACGCACACAAACACACACAAACAAACACACACCTTCATCATCGTCATCAACCTGAGAACGCGCGGACCACGTTTCCTTCCGTAGTTACTGCGCGGACACCGACGTGCGTGTGGATCGTGTTTTCTCGCGTACGCTGCGTAAACCGTGCTTCCTCCTGTGAACCTCTAAACCAGAACTAACACCAAGACTAAAACCAGGACTAAACCAGTCCAGGACTAAACCAGGACTAAACCAGAACTAAAACCAGGTCTAAACCAGGTCTAAACCAGGGCTAAACCAGAACTAAAACCAGAACTAAAACCAGGAATAAACCAGGACTAAACCAGAACTAAAACCAGAACTAAAACCAGGTCTAAACCAGGTCTAAACCAGGACTAAACCAGGACTAAACCAGAACTAACACCAGGACTAAAACAAGATTAATCCATTCCAGGACTAAACTAGGACTAAAGCAGGTCTAAACCAGGACTAAAACAAGGACTAAAACCAGTGATCTCATATATAAAGCATTTCTCTATCAATAATATTTTTAATATGGTTAAGGAAAGACTGGACTTTTTATTGTCTTTAAGTAGACAAAAGTTATTATGTTCAGATTTCCTCGTCTTTGCTGCTTTACAGCAAACAGTTTCTTATTCATGGAGACTTGGGCTCAACAGACAATTTGGAGAGATTTGTTAAACAATGAATGACTTTATAAAGTCACTTTTTAAAATCTATATTAGTCTTTTGATCTGCCACAATAATGTAATAATGAATTTAAATGAAAATACCTCAAATTGAAGGCTTTTCTCAGCAATTTTTAGGTGAGATTAAAATGAGATTAATTAGATTAATTAATTACAGATCATAATTAATTAATCTCTCAATTTTTTTAATCGCATGACAGCACTAATTAAAACATTTAGCTGAATTTTAAGATGGTTAGTCTCTGTTGTGTCTTTAAAGTGGGGAAAAGAACGGGAAATTTACTTGTGGAAGTGGGTGGGACTGTAAAGCTTCATGGTCCTGATGACATAATTATAGTATAGATCAATCAAAATGTATTTATAAAAGCACTTTTCATACAAAAGAATGTAACTCAAAGTGCTTTACAGTCATTAAAAACAGACGTGCATGCATCCGACCCCCACAACATGCACAGTCTCATCCACATATATGCACACACACACAAACATGCATACACACACTAACACACTAAAACACATGCGGTTTCTTGCATAGGGTGACCAGACTCCTCTATTTACCCAGGACGGTCCCAGTTTTGAGCCCTGTGTCCCCTGTCCCAAACTCCTTATCCAAAACCAGTGTTTTGTCCCAGTTTTATACAAGAAATGTTCCAGATGTCCTTATTTTTGAGTAATTTGATCCTTGCCAACAGTAAAGAAAGGCATAAATTGTCATTTGTTTAGGTAAAATATAGAAAATCTGCTGAAAAATGACCAAAACGTAAACAAAATTAGTCTTGAATGAGCCAAGAGTATAACAGTTTTCCTTAATTACGCACTCGTTTCACAGTTTTATTATTATCGACCACCACAAACCAGAGGTGTCCCAGTTTTTTTTATTATTTTGAAAATCTAGTCACCCTATACATACAATAAAACATGAAGCTGAATACAGACAAAGTTTGTATCTAATATCTGTACCACATGATGTCCATATCTTTCCCTGTTAATTGACTGTACCTCCTGTTCTCTGTGTCCAGCGCTGCTCATTTACTGGGTCCTGGCCTTTATCATGAAGACCATCAAGTTTGCAAAATACACAGAGCACGGCATCGGCCCGAGACAGCTGAGGTACTGCATCACTGGACTCCTGGTCCTGCTGTATGGGCTCCTGCTGACCGTGGAGATCAGTGTCATCCGGGGAAGGGTAAGGAACAGTCTCTGATTCTCTGCAAATAAGGATTAAACAAGATAAAACCGGACTAATTCACTCCTGCAAAACAATATCTTTCACATGATCACATCGCTAAGAGGACATTGATACTGTGCGGTAACTCACATAGGGGGTGCTCTACATGTATCTCTATGGTGGAATGTTCAGCAGTTACCATGAAGACTCAATACACACATCAGCACGTGAGGAGATGGTACCGGGGAAAAAAAACTGTTTGATTGATGTAACTCTCTTGATTCTGTTTCCACGCAGGAAAACAATAAAAGATATTCCACCGTATATTTTCTTTTCTTCACCGTATTTATATTCCCTACCGATCGTGTGAACGGACCGTACACAACAGAACACTTTCGTCCCATGACAGAAAGAGCAACAGCACGTTATCTACAACTTTCACTGAACCAGTCTACAGTCTAGTGGACGGTTCCTTCTCACGCGTGAATTTGTGTTATGTCCCATTCCCTATAGAATGCGGCTTTAATTTGAGCTTTATTTGAACACAATCTGACCAGAAAGAGCTGACTTGGTTGAAATTACGCATGGTGCTGTTGAACAAGTCTCTCACACATAAAATTGCAGTCACAAGGTAGCAAGTATTAGCCAATAGTTTTTCACTACGTTACGTTTACACTGAAACTAATCACTGTGTCACTGTATCGGAAACGATCTGCATCCAGACACATCATTTCTATGTCTGCATGCCTTCCCTAGCCTTATACTTATGCTAAATATGCTTTGAGCATATTTGTTTACATTTTACAGAAACGAAACTTAAAACCACATGGCTAATTTGTATAAACTAAGCGCTTGAAAAAACAGCTCACTATTGTGCTCTGATGCGGTTCAGCTTCTGTCAGACTAAAGGACACGACTCAGTGGATTATATGTGTTCTTTCTGTGACAGAGGGGTGTACTGCTGATGGTGACTCTGTCCTGTGCTTCTATTGTGTTGGAGATGGTTCATGTTAAACTTTTCAGAGGTTATGCATCTGCAGGTCGTACGCATAGACCGATATGAATGGACATATATTATAGCCTCTTAGCGTTTTGGTGATGAATTACTTTGTGGCGCATACACCTACACGTATCAACATATCAGCATTTTCAGGTGTCCACACAGTGCCAGATCGTTCCGTCTCTGGAGCCGTTTTCCGTTGGATTAGTGTGGACAAACACTGCATCCACAACGAAAACAACTGGAATATGTTCTAGTGTGGATGGGGCTCTAAGTCACTCTTATCTTTTTGTTGGAAATTACACCTAAACAGGACCATGAACATTGATCAGAGGCTCTTGAAAATCTCCTACTTATATCCACTCTGTATTTTTTCTTAATTTTTTAGATCATCTAAAAACTTTTTTTGTCTTTGTTTACTAATGTGTGCATTGTGTCACCATGGTAACTGCTGAACATTAGAACAGAAATACATGTAGATAGAACACCCCCACTGTGATATCACTGCAAAGTATCAATATTCACACATCCTAAACATGATTTCACTGCCCTGTGCTATATTTGTTTTACTAAAATAGCTCTGGAAAGGATGAAAAAACACGCCTTTAAACATTGTTCTATCGTTTAAGGTTTAATTATTCTTCACATCTGGATATTGAACCTAAATTAAACACAGTAATTGCTTTTTCAAATGCCTCACGGTCATGTGTGGTGCACTTGGTAAAACACTAAACACTGTTATTATAGCTCATGCCAGCTCTGATCATTGTGGCTGTGTTCAAATCAAAGACTGTGTATGTAAAAGGACATAGTAAACCTGCTAGCTGTTGGGTTCTAAATAGGAAGTGGGTATGCTGGCACTTCTGGCTCCATCGACTCTGGTTCCGTGTCACTTTTTCTTGAAATCCTGGCTCCCCTCACTCTGTAAGGCTACGTTCAGACTGCAGCCTGAAGTGACCCAAATCTGATTTTTTGGCCTCTATGTGACCTGTATCTGATTTTTTTAATGACAGTGTGAACGACACAGATACGATTTTTTTTTTAGAAGCGACCCAGGTCACTTGGATATGTGGTCCTGAAACCGATACATATCTGATCTTTTGACATGCGACTTCAGTCTGAACGGCCAAAGCATATTCAGCTGACCTACACGTTATCAACAAGCCACAAAAGTCACTATTCTACGGTGAAGTAGGGGAAAATTGTTAATGAACTCCTTGTCACTGAAGCGAAGCACATCACCACTCACCACTCTTGGCTACGTCTCCAGATCCACATGTTCCATTCAACGAACGTTGCTGCCACTGTCCCACAAAACGCCACGGAAAAAATCCTTGTCCTTCTCCTTCTCAATCTTCTTAAAACAAGTAAGTTGTTCATGTTCTGGCTCCGGTACAAGAGGAACTTTAAAATCTCCAGGTGCTCAATGCTCGCGTCCATGTTTGGACAACTTCTGTAAACACAGAGCACGCTCGATGCAGTTGACGTCATCGTGTCTCCAGTGCACATGTGGGACACTTTTGGGCCATTTAATGTTCACACTGGAGATCACATACAAGTCACATTTAATTGGAAATGTGAACGACCCCGCAAAAACATTGGATTTCACAAAAAAATCCTAATTGAGCATTAAGTCCTGCAGTCTGAACGTAGCCTAACTGCTGCAGTGAGACTTATCAATTTGATCTTAAAATCTTGGTTTTCACCCACTCTAAATGATCCTGGTGTTTTTTATTCCACTTTATCTATAAATAAAAAAAAATATATAATCAGGTGCCTTCTTTCCCTGAGGTCACTATCGCTAGCCTTATCAACAGGTTTGATTGACAGTGTTGCTAAGCACCCAGTCCCTCTTAAACCAGCGGTGCAGGGAGGAAGGACCATTATCTTCAGCAGCCTCATTCCTAATTGGATCTTTGGTTGCTATGATACTTGTGGTCAGAATTCCAAAAATGGAATGCAGCTCTAAATTCGCCCCTATAATTTGCGGTCTCAATGAGCTTCATTTGACTGGAGCTGAATGTTATGGGTGACGTCACACTCACTTTGTCCACTTCTTTATACAGTTTATGGTTCAGACTCAGCTCACCTAACCATAACTTCTCTTCTTTAGCGGTACATGTGTTTCGCCAACCCGAGAGAGGTGAAGCCCCCTGAGGACCTGCAGGACCTGGGGGTGAGGTTCCTTCAGCCCTTTGTGAACCTGCTGTCCAAAGCCACGTACTGGTGGATGAACACGTTCATCACATCTGCGCACAGACGCCCCATCGACCTCAAGGTCATCGGAAAACTGCCCATCGCCATGAGAGCTCTCACCAACTACATCAAGCTACGCAAGGCTTTTGAGGACCAGAAGGTCAGTGTCTCGGGTCAAGACGTGATTCATTATAATGTTAACACACATGACAGGTGCACAGTGCATATTAGCAGTAACGGACTGTCTAAGCCCTTGATTTGAGGGGTGTACAGAGCAAAACCACAGCATGGCATAGACAATAATTCACACATTGTATCCTTTTTTTCCTAAATTTGTTCCTAAACATGCTACACAGGTTTCCAGGAAGAACAGTTGATAACTAAGGTCAATTAAGTACAATCAAACAAAGAACCTGCCCAGGGACTACAAGTGAAAAATAGCAGTGGTGCTACAACCTGGTACAATGCATCTCTCCTGTTAAGGTTAATGTAAAATTTGTGGGCTGTCCCTGTCTCATTAAATAAATAAATAAATAAATAAATAAATAAAGGGCCCATATTACACTATGTTCTGACCTATGTTCTAATGTTTCCTCATCAAAAACAGACCTCACAAGATGGAACAGAGCATTTTGAGCTTTGGAGATATAGACAGACTAATAATAAAGGGTTAAACATAGGGTTGTAACAATAACCAAGTCTCACGAAATGATATCGTCACGGTATGAACCTCACAGTACGATATTTATTGTGATATCGTGGGAAAGCTCACGATATGGTGGGGAGGCTCATGATTAGGGATGTAACAATATCCAAATCTCTCGGTATAATATTTTCACGATATACATCTCACGATACGATATTTATTGCAATATTTTGTGGAGGCTCAACAGCTAAAACTGTTAATATGCAACTTTTTCCTCTTAAAATGCCTTGACAAGACTTAATCCAAAGAACTAGAACTGTTATTTCTTCTTGTAGTCTACACTGAAATGGAGCAAAGGATCATGGTCTATGTAGTTCCCTCTGTCTATTTCTGCACCATAACTCCATACTTAAGCAAAACACTTGTAATTTGATATATTGTAGTGCGGAAACCTCTCAACCAAAAAGTGTTCCATATACCAGTCTATACTAGTCATTCCCAACGTGGGGGCTGCGACTCAAATTTAGGTCCCCAAAGATTCTCAGGGGGTCCCCAGGGGTTGATTTCGTGAATTTTTATGAAGAAATGGCGTCTTAATTGCTCCTTAGTGTTCTGTAACATCTTTATTAACCAGAAAATTATTAGATTTTTCTTTATTAGACTTTAGCTTCTCGAGTAGCAGAAGAATGTACCGGTATCATGGGTAAAATAAAGGGTCGGTGGAAGAAAAAGGTTGAGAACCACTGGTCTATGCTAATCTCATCTCTAATTTAACCTCAGGTCCCTTTATATGGTGAAATGTGGATGATTCAATTAGGAGGTTAACAGTTTAACCGTGATCTAGACTGATAGTCATCTTCCCTCTGGCGTTTTCGCAGATTTAGTTGCTTAATTTCACTCAGGTTCTGGACTGTAAGAGAGATAGTGCCGTACATTTGCACTTCAGCACATCCAAAGGAACACTGTAGTAAAGATTACATAACGCTGGTCAGCCCCGGAGGCCTCTTAGCGTGACCCCCGTGTCTTCTCTGTGAGCTGCTGAACTGGAAACCCGCTGGTGCTGTGTTTGAGTGTTAGTCGTCTATAGACTCTGTGCACAATATCACCGAACAACACCACAGTTCAGTTCAATCTCCATGGGGCTTTTGCTGAGTTGTGCTAAAATGAATACATATTTAAAGGTGCATTGTGTAACTTTTTTAGTGGAGGTATTTGTCTGGAATGTTTCACAGTATGGTATTAAACCTTTCTATCTTCATGGAGACCAAAACAGACTAATGATGCCTTCACGTTCTATGGTAATTATCGTAAACAAGAAAAGCACTTGAACACAACACAACACACTCCTGCTCACAGTCAGAATGTTGTTTTTCTAGGTCTTTTTGAGCTGTAAAACCACCTGTGATTTAATAAATGTAAGGCACAGCTGTTTAACAAATGTGACAGACCCCTAACAACAAAGATCCACTGCCTTATCTTTAAAAGTGCAACCTTTAAAGATAAGGCAGTGGATCTTTTTGGCAGTGGACACGGAGCATCATGGTGGATTTCACTGATAACGTGACAAATAAAAATACACAAATAAAATGAATACTTCACTGGAAGATGCTTCTGTGTTTAGAACTATTACTGCTAATTTTGAGGCATCATAATTATTAAAGCAAAGCCACAAACTTAAAGGTGAACTGTTTAAGTTTTTGTGTTGGGAGTCTGTCACCTGCTTGTTTCTATGGATATGTCATTGCTCTGCCTGGAATGTTCCGCAGTATGACATCTCTTGATTACGTTTATTAAATTACAGGTGATTTTATAGCTCAAAAATACCTAGAAAAACAGGCATTTTGACTGTGAGTTAGGGTGACCAGACGTCCCTTTTTACTAGGAGTGTGCAAAAATATCTAAATATTGAAATATCGATATATCGTATTGTTTAATGTGATGATACAGTATGGATATCATGGGCTGCTGTATCGATATATCACCAAGAGTATTTTTTGGTATACTTTACTAAATTATTTTGTTACAGCACTACAGTTTTGTTGCTTGTTTAGAGGAAGGAAACTTGTTTATCCAAAATATTTGACATTTTTACTGTTTTGATGATTAAAATGTTTGTGTTTCATATTAACTTTGAAGAAGTGGCTTAACAAAGACTTTTAGTATCACAGCCATGATTTAGTCTTTATTTTTTACTGAACTGTATTGAATTGATTTGAAATGTATCGTATCATATCGAAAGTGCACTGTATCAAGATATGTATCGTTTCGTGGCCTACGTATCGAGGTATGTATCGTTTTGGCAACTTCTCAATGATACCCAACAGTCCCAGTTTTGAGCCCTGTGTCCCCTGTCCCAGCAGATTTATCCAAAACCAGTGACCAGCTGTCCCAGTTTTATAGAAGAAATATCCCAGGTGTCCCTATTTTTGACCAATTTGATCTAAACTAGGACTAAACTAAGATTAAACCAGGACTACATCAGGTCTAAACCAGGACTATCACAGTTTTTCACTAATCTGATCCCTGCCAACAGTAAAAAGGAGCATAAATTGTCATTTGTTTAGCTAAAATACAGAAATCCATGTTTGCAAATGACCATAAAGCAAAAAAAAAAACAAAAAACAGAAGACAGAAGCCCCTCAGATTATGATTGACACGAGAATGCACAATGTTACACACTGTTTTCACAATTTTATTCATACCAACCACCCCAACTGAGGTGTGTCACAGTTTAGAATGTTGAAAATCGTGTTGCCTCTCCACAGATCTGAGCTGTAACTTGGTCAGGCTTGGTCTTCATGGAGATAGAAAGGCTTAATACCATATTGTGAAACATTCCAGACAAAGAAATAATATCTTCATGGAGAAAAGCTGAAAAAGAAAAGTTAAACAATGCACCTTTATGTATTGCACATATAAAAATAACTGGTAATCTTTATTTGAATGAATTTTAAAGCTTGTTTATGTTATATTTGATGAATTTACTTAAAAAATGACTGTTAGTTTTGACAAACAATGAGTGCTACCGTGCATAGAGCCGATTGTGGATGCTTTCAGTGAGTAAAGAGCGCATGCATGAGCGGATCGATGCCGTATGGATTTATACTAGAAGCTCATCGTCACTGTATTTGTGGAACAGCTTCACCAGCACTGAGAGGTTTGGTGTTTTGTGCGAGCTCAGCTGATCTTTGTGAGCAGCGTGTGGGACGGAGACAAATGCCATCCATTAATCTCCGAGGATAAAGGACCCGCCAGAACACTGCACAGTAATACAATTCACTGTAATACTATTAGTTTATACTGCGCTTTCCCTGTCCTCCCATGACCAATTTATGTACGCTGTAATCTGTCATGCTCCAAACATGTCCCCTTTGAGAATAGCTCCAGCACATAATGAAAATCTCCTACCGCTGATATCCACATAACTATAGGTGAGCAGATTATAGAGATGCAATGATATGGATTTTTCATGGCTGATACTGATTCGTCAACATCCAGAAAAAACAAAAACATATATTTTTGGGCACATTTGGATTATTTTATTCTGTCATTTAAAAGAAAATTTTATTGACTCTTGTGAGCTTTAAGCCATGTTAGAATGTTGCTTAACTAGGGATGTAACAATAACCGAAATATCATGATATCGTATCATCAGAAGTCTCACAATAGTCATGAGCTGTCACAATATATCGAATTACAAGTTTCTTTGCTTAAATGCATGGTTTTACAGTAGCAACAGCTTATGATACAGGGAACTACATATCCCATGGTTCATTTCAGTGCAGACAACATGAAGAGATGTTTTCTACTTGAATTCTTGGGATTATGATGGAAATAATTCACACCAAAAACTTGTCAAGATATTTTAAAAGCAGAAATGTGTCCTATCTACAATTATATCAGCCTCTGCAAGATATCGCAATAAATACCGTACCGTGAGATGCATATCGTGATAATATTGTACTGAGAAATTTGGATATTGTTACATCCCTAATGGTTACTCAAACATGTGTGAATGAAACAAAACACAACTCCACGTATGTTTCTGATGAGGAAACAACATTATAACATGACTTAAAGGTTGTATGGAAGGTTTTTTTTTTGTTTCAAATTGTCATTGAAAGTATAAAATACCATCACAGAGACACAGCAGCCTTGTAATTATGATGACCAAAAAGAAAAGCATGAAAATCTATCGACTGTGTATGTAGTGAGGCCAGATAAACATCAGTCAATAGAAAACAAGGCTCTGTCTTTATCTATTGGCTGTTAGGTTGTCAATCAAACTCCCTATGTTTCTAGTGTAACTGACTCATCAGCGTGCGGGGATTACGTGGTTTATGCAGCGGTTCTTAGAGGCTTTTTCAAACTGTCGCTTTCTCGCAATTCACACAGTTTGTTGAGATGGTGGACAGGAATCCATGACCAGTTCGCCGCAAAAGAAAGTCAGTTTTTTAAGGTCGCTGAAAGAAGAAGAGAAGGGGAAAATTAGCGAAGACAAACTGAGGTGATTCTTGAAG